AAATAAAAAAAAAGTAAAAAACAAAACGAATATGAAACGATTTAAACCTTTGTTTTTGTTTCAGACGCAGAAGTGACTCAAAAAGTCCCCGAGTCCAACACAGAACCACCTGCCCCCACCGAGACCAGGTCTGAACCAGGACTAAACCAGGACTGAACCAGGACTGAACCAGGACTAAACCAGGACTAAACCAGGACTAAACCAGGACTAAACCAGGACTAACCAGGTCTAAACCAGGACTAAACCAGGACTAAACCAGGACTGAACCAGGACCAGGACTGAACCAGGACTAAACCAGGACTAAACCAGGACTAAACCAGGACTAAACCAGGACTAAACCAGGACTAAACCAGGACTGAACCAGGACTAAACCAGGACTGAACCAGGACTAAACCAGGTCTAAACCAGGACTAAACCAGGACTAAACCAGGTCTAAACCAGGACTGAACCAGGACTAAACCAGGACTGAACCAGGACTAAACCAGGTCTAAACCAGGACTAAACCAGGACTAAACCAGGACTAAACCAGGTCTAAACCAGGACTAAACCAGGACTAACCAGGTCTAAACAGGTCTAAACCAGGACTGAACCTGGACCAGACCAGGACCAGACCAGGACCAGACCAGGACCAGACCAGGACTAGACCAGGACTGGACCAGGTCTGAACCTTGGTCTGTGTGCAGCAGGAGGTTGGTTCGTCCCACTAGTGCTCGACCGGTTCCTCCTCGAGTCAAGAGACAAGACAGTCACGGAGAGTCTCCTGCTGAGAGGTGAGTCTGGTCCTCTGTGAGTCTGGTCCTCTGTGAGTCTGGTCCTCTGTGAGAGACGTGTGGTTTTATCTGTAAATGACGACGACCCCCCCCCCCCCCCCCCCCCCCCCCCGTTCCTTCTGGTCTCCTCTGGTGTCCCTGGTCTCCTCTGGTCCTTCTGGTCCCTCTGGTCCTTCAGGTCGTCGAGCGCTCGAGTCGCGGCTCTGATCCTGGACGGGGGGAGGAGGCCTGAGGAGGACGAGGATGAAGATGAACAGTTCCTGGTTCAGGAGGCAGTGACTGAAGGAGACGCCCCGGACCCCCCCGCGGTGAGAAGCACCTCACACACACACACAAGACCCCCCCGCGGTGAGAAGCACCTCACACACACACACAAGACCCCCCCCGCGGTGAGAAGCACCTCACACACACACACACACACACAAGACCCCCCGCGGTGAGAAGCACCTCACACACACACACACACACAAGACCCCCGCGGTGAGAAGCACCTCACACACACACACACAAGACCCCCCGCGGTGAGAAGCACCTCACACACACACACACACAAGACCCCCCGCGGTGAGAAGCACCTCACACACACACACACAAGACCCCCCCACAGTGAGAAGCACCTCACACACACACACACACACACAACCCCCCATGGTGAGAAGCACCTCCCACTGACACCCCACAGCTCCACTGGTTTAGTCCTGGTTTAGTCCTGGTTTAGTTCTGGTTTAGTTCTGGTTTAGTTCTGGTTTAGTCCTGGTTTAGTTCTGGTTCAGTCCTGGTTTAGTCCTGGTTTAGACCTGGTTTAGTCCTGGTTTAGACCTGGTTTAGTCCTGGTTTAGTCCTGGTTTAGACCTGGTTTTAGTCCTGGTTTAGACCTGGTTTAGTCCTGGTTTAGACCTGGTTTAAACCTGGTTTAGACCTGGTTTAGTCCTGGTTTAGACCTGGTTTAGTCCTGGTTTAGTCCTGGTTTAGACCTGGTTTAGTCCTGGTTTAGTCCTGGTTTAGACCTGGTTTAGACCTGGTTTAACCTGGTTTAGACCTGGTTTAGTCCTGGTTTAGACTTGGTTTAGACCTGGTTTAGACCTGGTTTAGTCCTGGTTTAGACCTGGTTTAAACCTGGTTTAGACCTGGTTTAGACCTGGTTTAACCTGGTTTAGAACCTGGTTTAAACCTGGTTTAGACCTGGTTTAGACCTGGTTTAGTCCTGGTTTAGTCCTGGTTTAGACCTGGTTTAGTCCTGGTTTAGTCCTGGTTTAGTCCTGGTTTAGACCTGGTTTAGACCTGGTTTAGACCTGGTTTAGTCCTGGTTTACTGGTTTACCTGGTTTAGACCTGGTTTAGTCCTGGTTTAGTCCTGGTTTAGTCCTGGTTTAGTCCTGGTTTAGTCCTGGTTTAGACCTGGTTTAGTCCTGGTTTAGTCCTGGTTTAGACCTGGTTTAGACCTGGTTTAGACCTGGTTTAGTCCTGGTTTAGACCTGGTTTAGACCTGGTTTAGTCCTGGTTTAGTCCTGGTTTAGTCCTGGAGTCCTGGTTTAGTCCTGGTTTAGACCTGGTTTAGTCCTGGTTTAGTCCTGGTTTAGACCTGGTTTAAAGTCCTGGTTTAGACCTGGTTTAGTCCTGGTTTAGACCTGGTTTAGACCTGGTTTAGTCCTGGTTTAGTCCTGGTTTAGTCCTGGTTCTCACACAGACATAAAGACACATGGAACTTTTACCATTTAATGTGGAAAATCA